TGATACCATTTAGATTCACCACCCGCCCCCGAAATTATTCTTAGCTCGTTCCCTTGATTTCTTAATATCATGGGCTCTGGCTCCTCCTCCTAGTTCAGGGACCTCTTAGTGCAGTGATGTGTGTTTGACAAATCACACCCACAAAAACTTGGCCATGTGGTTTGAAAAGCCCTTTCTTCACACCGAGGCAGCAGGCTGGGTTTAATCTGAGGCACCACTGACGACATAAATGACTGTAATCCAGAACCTCAGGCTCACCATGAAAATAAGACCCGGAACCGTATAATTTGGGACTATTTTTATTTCTCACTTACGTGTCTTTTTCTCCGCGAGGGGGGAAAGGGCACCGATGGTGATAATGATGCTGAAACAACTCTGGAAGAACAGCAAAGCTGCAGTTTTGCTGAACATTTCACGTCACATAAAGGCCAGGGACTTTGGCCGAAGATGTCTGTTCATATGTGCACACTGAGAGCACAGGTTTTAGCTGTGCAGTGTGTGGGATTGCCCCATGGCCTAGTGGCTAAGGGAACCAGCCCCCACACGGCCAGCTATATTTCAAATCCCAGCCCTGGCAGCTTGAGAAACATGCCAGGCATGTGTGGTTGGGTATGTGCCCTAAATCCCTAACGGATGGAGAAATGGAGGAGAAGGGATTGTGGCATGACCAGCCCCAGTGCAGGGCACTTTCTCCATTTCCTCTCTTTCTGGGAGTACCATGTGCCCTCTGGCCAACAAAAATAAAAACAAAAACAGGGTGATGTGAAGTTTAGCACGGGAGATCACAGAACCCTTCTGGGTCTGGTAACCTCCAGAGCATGAGGCTTGTTGCCCAGGCCCAATACAGTTTAGAAGGAGCCAGCTGAGATTCTCTGCAGCAGCGCGAGCCAGCTGAGATTCTCTGCAGCAGCGCAAACGTGGCTTCCTGCTATTGGGAACCCCCTTACTGATGCCGTTGCTGAGCATCCTGGCTCAGTGCCAGTAGCAGCCTCGGTTTCAAAATTGTCCCCTAAGTCCACGTGAAGGAGCCAGCCCTGTTTTAATCACAGAATTTTATCTTATGAAGTTGTTTGGGTGTGGTGGAGTTGGGAACCTTTGAACTTCCTGGAAATGACAATTCTCATAGGAAGAGAATGAAAAGAAGCTCTTTTCTATTTAAAACCTCAGTGGAGGAAGGAGGGGGCCCCACGCCCTGATTTGGTTCTCTGATACCGTGTGTGTGTGTGTGTGTGTGTGTGTGTGTGTGTTTCCAGGTCTCTGAATATCAGCAGGCAGGCTTTCTCGTCCCTCGGGCACACCTCTCATGATTTCGTTTGTTTGTTTGTTTTTTCATTTTTAATGGGCTACTGCACCTAAGACACAAATAGGGCTGGTTATGTGGCATGGTGATCAAGGCACGTGGCCAACTGCGAGATTCCAGTCCCAGACCTGGCCAACTAAGAAACATGTCGGGCGTACATGCATGTTCAAAATCCAGAAGACAGGGAAAGATGGTGGAAAAGGGATTGTGGCATGACCATTTTCCATGGGGATGCTTTTTCCTCTCTCTCTCTCTGTCTCTGGCGAACTTGTATGCCTTCTAGCAAAACACATACACACAGATACACACATGTACACACACACATGTAAATTGGGCTTTTTAGGGTATGGAACACGGAAATAGCCACTTAGATATTGCATTCCTTGTGTGACCTTTTTAAAAAGTCACTCCCACTTCAATGTAGTTAAGGAGAGTCGCCCAGGGAGACTCTTTTTATTTTTTATAATTATTTATTTTATTTATTCATTCATTTATTTTAATTTGACCAGAGAAAGACAGAGAGAGAGAAAGATTGAGAAAGCAAGCTGCCAGGTCCGAGACTCGAACCGCGGTCAGCCATGTGGGAGTGTCCAGCACCTTAACCACCACACCACCTGCTGGTCCCCAGGAGACTCTTAGTTGGATTTGAAATAGAATTTTATTTTAGCTTGGTCTCCTAAAGGGGACACCTCTGTTCTGGGTGTCAGCTGAAGGCCAGCTTAAGGGGGCAGAGTGGGCCCAGGTCCCGAGTTGAGCAGAACCATAGCCTGCAGAGAAAAGGCAGCCAGAGCGCCGCCTGTGGATGCTGCACTCGCTCCCTGCCCACATGCCCTCTGCCCCGAGCACAGAGGCTGAGGCACTCACAGCGTGACCCTGCTCCACGATGATGAGGCGCTTCACAGTCAACTCAGCTGCATCTGTGACTGTCACCTTGTCCAGGCTGTTGCCAAGGCAGACTCAGTTTGGGGGTGCTCACATCTGTGGGATGATAGGTGGATGGACAGCGGCTTGGTGGTTGATCGTGTGGTTTTATCCACCCAGAGTAATTGAGAATAGCAGAAGAAAATATGTTTCAATCCAAGTTCAAGCCATCTATTCTCCCTGGGTAGAATGGTGTGACTGAAGTTGGCAATCTGCACCGGGCAGGTCTCTTGGCCTCCTCAGAATTTAGATTCCTAATACGATGCTAACCGTGGGTCTGTGGCATGGGGAGGGGTATGGAGTCAGACTGTGGTGGGTCATGGTCGGTCACGTCCTCCTCATGCTTGAAGTCTGACCCCCTGCCCCACACCTCGCCCACTTCATCATTCCTCTGCCTTCCTTTTCCACTGCTCGTGTCTGACTCTGGCTTGAGGTAGCTCTCTGCTTTCAAGGGGTCAGGTGTTCAGATTGGACCTACCCAGATAATCCAGGATAATCTTCCTGTCTCAATTTCCCCTGCAAAGCCCTTCACAGCACACATGGACTAATATTGGAGCACCCTGGGATGAGCAGTTTGAAGGACAGCTCGCCAGTTCTGCCTACCTTGGGGGGCTGTAAATGTGCTATGGCTGCAGAGAGCAGTGTGAAGACTGAGTGGGGCAAGTCGTGTGGAGCACAGAGGAGTCCCTGGCCACTCGGAGGGCTCTGTGCCTGCTTGCTGCCAGGGAACAAAGCAGATGTCTGTGGCTTTTGTGACACTGAGGTCATGGGGTGTCATGGGAGGTCATATGTCACGAGCAAGGGCCCAGCTCAGGCATGTGACCTTCCCTGCCATGGGCATCCAGAAACAGCGATGCCCACCTGGTGGCATGGCCTTCCCAAGTGCCTTCATTTAACTTTGGGAGAGTGTATCCTTTCTCCAGGGCCTGCTGTTGCGTTTGTAAGATTTATTTCCCCTTCTGTCTCTACCATTCAATGCTAGGGTTTGGGTTTGGTCTACCCTGATGCTACGGTGAAACCTTCTATGGTAAGACACCTCTCACATCAGATTACTGAGCATGAGGAAAAATCTAGTGTTAGAGGGTAAAACTGTTCCTATACAAGCTGGAGGTGGGCACCACACACTGGGGAGCTCTACTCATGAGGAGCGATTGTTTGTCCTTATTAATCAGTGCCCAAGGGCAGGAACAGTGGCTACAACTTGGCCAGTTTGCAGACATACCCTAAAGAGGTTGGTTAAAGCCTTTTGGTTTTAAGTTGTATTTGCATTACAGCAAGAAGGCTTGTCACTGGCAGGCTAAGTGGCATTGGAGTATGTGGCAGAGTTGGCACTGGAATCCAGGCCTGATCTACCTGAGTCTTCACTGTCCACGGCATCTCCACGAGCCCTGCTGCAAGGTAATAACCTTTTCTGTTTCAGGCCCTGAAGCGCCAGAGCTTGCTGGGTCTCTCCTTCTTCAACAGCATCTTGGCCCATGGCGACCTGCGCAACAACAAGCTCAACCAGCTCTCTGTCAACCTGTGGCACCTGGCACAGAGGCACGGCTGTGCAGATACCAGGACTCACTCCAGGGACCTCTCGCAAGTAGCACAAGCCGCCCGAGGTGTGCCTCAGCCCAGCACTGCAGACTGGGAGCAATTAGTTCCAAGCTCCCCTCTAAGCAAGAACTCTGCAGGGTCACTTTCTAGTGCTAATAAGAATGGCATTACATTTATTTCCCTGAATAAGATTCATACATATGAAAACATCAATTATTTCTGGTCATACCTAAATCTGACTTTAAGGGCAAGTTGCAATCTATTGGATCATCGGAAAAATCATGATGCATTTTTGCATAGAAAAACATAAAAAGATACATTATGAGTTTTCCAACGACCCAGTAAGAACGGCTATTTAGGTTTTGGTCATAGGACACATGTGCTTGTCAGAGAGCAAGCGAGAAAGAGTGGGAAAGTGAGAAGTCATTTCCTGGGGGGGATGGTCATGCCATAGTCCCTTTTTTCCCACTCTTCTCTGAGAATTCTAGGTATGCATACACACATTTGGCGTGATTCTCAGGCCACTAGGCCCAGGACTTGAACCATGGTCGGCCATGTGGGAGTCTTAACACCTTAACCACCACTCCACCTACGGGCCTCATAACTTTTAAAGACTTTGATTTCTTCCCTTCCTGCAAATGATTTCCTATTTTCTGCTAAATAGTATAAGCTCATATACTGGTGATACTGGTGTATATATCGGAGCCTTGTGCAGCAAGGATAGAGAATTATGAACCAGAAATGAGATGGACCTTCCTTTTTCTTCATAGGTGAAAACCCTGGAGTATATCAAGAAGCAAAGCAAACAACCAGACATGAGTCACCTGACTGAGCTGGCCCTCAGACTCCCTCTGCAAACAAGGACCTGACCTCTAAGCCTGTCTCCGGTGGGGACTCTGGTGCCAAGTGTGAAAGGCCCAGCTTTGCCATTCTGAATGCTTATTGGAATTTAGTTTTGGTTTTTATCTTATTTTTATATATATACAAATTGGTTGAATCTCTGGCCTCTACCTGAGTTACTCTGACAGTGCAGAAGTGAGAACCGTCAGGGCATTAAATTAATCCACCAGTGTCTTAGTGATTCCCTGCACACGTGGCTCTCAGGTTCTTGGTAAAGCCCCAGACGAGGGCCAGGTGGGTGTTTAGCAAGAGCGAAGCAAGAGAACATAAGTAACATTTTTCTTTTCTAGGAAATGTTTGCTTTTTCATGGTTTTGAAAAGAACTTTGAAAAGCAGTCCACTTACAAAGTTCCACTGTGCCAGGTACAGTCAGTTTCAGACGGTGTACGCTCATGTTAGAGAGTCCCCAAATCTGGGATTTGTATCACTTAATTAACTCCTTTCCTATCAAACGCAGCTCTTGACTAGATCTAGAATATATTAGTGGAAGGAGAAAGGTCAAATTCCGAGTTTCACTCTGGTTTCAGTGGAAAATATGCTGTAACTGAATAAATGACCTCAAGCAACATTTATGTACATGACTGTTCATTTAATTGCTTCTGACTCTCTTCCTCCAGAAGAAAGAGAACGTGTCTAAACATATTAGCCTGCTTTGTTTTACAGCCATAATTCTAAACGGCATGTGATTCTACTTCTCTGCTACCAGTTTGGTAGAACCTGATTCTTGAATTAGTGCTGGTGAGCTTCCACCAACAATAAGAGCACCGATATCAATGGTTGAGTTGTAGCTAGGATCCACTGTTTGGGAAAGGGCATCTGAGTTGTGGATTAAAAGTACCCCAAGCTATTGTGCTTCTGGAAGAGAAACAGGGCATAGGTTACATTTCATCTTTACTATGAAGCAAGGTGACTGTGAACAGAGTTGACCTCAGAAAGTAAGAGATTGGTTGGGCCAGCTCCATGGCCTAATGGTTAAGGAATCCAAACCCACATGGTCCCACATGGTTTAAGTCCTAGACCCCCAGTGGCTTAAGAAACATACCGGGTACATATTCGTGCATGACCAGAATCCCAAAAGGAGGGTAGAAATGGAGAAGAGATTGTGGTGTGACCATTCTCCACGGCAATTGCTTTGTCTCTCTCCAGAGGGCACATGCTCCCTCTGACAAGATTTTTTAAAAAGAAAAGAGGTAAAATAATTTAAAAAAATAAATGTATATGGCCCATTTGGGTTTGGGGCCCAAGTAGCACCAGTGCTTGGGAGGCTGGAGGCCACAGGTTTGGCTCCCAGGCTAATGTGAAGCTTGGAGAGGGGGATGTTGCACACTCCTGTAATCCTAACTGGGAGGCTGGGCAGGAAGATCAGGACACAGTGAGACCTTGTCAAAACACCCATCTCTGTGTCCCTCTCCCTCCCTCAGTAGATTCATTAAAAACTTAAATTTACTGAACCGTTTAGGACCAAGAGTATTGCTGTGGATTTTCTAGTCAACTTGATGACATCCTTCCCAAGAAACTCTTTAGCCAAAAAAAAAAAAAAATTAACTTTTATTTATGTATTTAATTTGACCAGAGAGGGACAGAGTGAGAGAGATGGAGAAGGAAATCAAGAAAACGAGTCGCCAGGTCCAGGACTCAAACCATAGTCGGCCATGTGGGAGTCCAGTGCCCTTAACCACCACACCATCTGTTGGCCCCCCACTTCCCAGGAAATTCTGAAGAGAATTCTCCACAAAGAGCAGAAGAAACACTATGGAATACCTTTCCCTCTTTCACTAACTAAACACAACACACCCTCAGAAAGCAGTAAAGAAAATAACTCAGAAAGCAGTCATGTCACTCAAATTCTGCCAAGTGGTCTTTATTTCACCAATGTATTTTCATTAAAATAATTTTACATACTATTGTTACTATATGATGCTACTTAAGTGGAAAACAATTGTCAAGTTCATAAGCTGTGCTAAGTCATTTCTTCTAGTTTGAGGCTGCTTCTGTTGGACGGCATTCGTTTCCAAGCCTGGCCCGGTGGATTCTCACTGCTTTCACAGTGACCTGAACCTGGACTTTCCAAAGGACCTGGTGCCAGGTAGAGGCTTAGGTCTTGCATGTTGTGTGGTTTTTCCTGGCCTGTCAGTAAGCCAGAATAAATCAGAGCCAGCCTCTGAAAGCTGCAGTCTACATGGGAAGAAGGCCACTAGCAGGAGAAATGAGGCAGCAGTCCGAGTGACTCCTTTCATAAAGTAGGTAAAGCAGAGGGAAAGTTCTGCACGAGACCTGCATTCACCTTCTATTGCTACCTACCACAACACAGCGCTTAAAATGACCCAATTTTATCATTGGACAGTTGTGATGGTCATTAGTTGACTGGCATCCCTGGGCTTTGGTCAAGTGCGCAGGGCTGTGTTCCTTTCTAAAGGCTCTGGGGATGGGGTGGGGTGGGGTAGGGTGTCCTTGCCTTTTCCAGCTTCTAGAGGGCACCTACATTCTTTAGCTCCTGGCCTTTCCTTTCCCATAGGGCTGGTTGAGTGAAGTTCTTACAAGTCTTGGACACTGCTACTTCTGCCTGCTTCTTCCACATTTAGGTACCCATGAGTAAAGTAGACTCAAGCAGACAACCCAGGATAATCTCTTTACTTAAGGACAGCTCATTAGCAAACTTAATCCCACCTGGTACCCTAATGCCTTTTTACCTAGTAACCTAACATACTCCCAGGTTCTGGGGATATCATGGGGGTGGGCATTCTGCCTACCACCAACCCAACCGTCCCAATAGTCTGCAGAGTGAAGACACTTCTTTTAGAACTGCATCCATTTGGCACATACTTTGGGAGGGCCACTCCAGTTGTGGAAATGGTCTCAGGGTAAGGCCTGTGGGCTAAGGCAGAGACAGAGTAGGAACCACTTACATGAACAATGCTGAAAACCAGGTTTTGGGGACAGCCAAAGAGGGCAGGTGTGAGGAGGTGAAGGTTCTCGTCAGCCAATGAGAATCCCAAGGGAAAAGCAGCCACACTGGAGAACAGACCTCAACAGCCAAGACAGACCTTGGCTACACGTGTTGTTCAGACTTCCTGAGGCCACTATCTGAGTCTAGTAACCCAGAGAAAGGCTATGTTCTAGTCAGAACATGAAGGACATGGGAAGTCACACTGAGAAACCTGTAGACAGCTCGGGGAGGGCACTGCACATAGGGAAAGGTGGCCAGGGGTGGCCAGATTTGTTCATTTGCAAAGGCTGGGGGCCAGCGAGCACCAGGAGCCACCTAGCACCAGCTAACACCACCTCTCCCTTGACTACAGACTGCCACAGGACCTGAGTGACCATGGGCTGTGCTGCTGGAAGGCAGACAAGGATATGTTCGTTCTGAGGACGTTCACCATTTTGGGTTGGCTCTCCCAACTACTGGTTTCAGTCTACGTTCTTACATACACAAAGAGGTAATAAATCTCCCCAAGCAACTGGAACTTGTGAGCCAGTGGTGTTAGAAAATCAAACCCTATGACACAGAGACTATTTACACTAGGGAAAGGCCCGGCCATCACACCATAATGAGCTATCAGTTGCAAGGCCTGGATAGGGCAAGAAGAGGGGACAATCATCTGCTCCAAAATTACCCAAGGGATATCCAAACACCATCTTTTCCTGATGCACTAAGGCATACCCAAACTAGCATGACCTCTTCAACAGGAAGAAAACCATTGGAGTAGACAGGTGGCTGGTTCTCTTTTATACTGACCAAATCCTTGTAGTGTTGACCAAGGCTAGGAGAGATTTGTTCCTTAGAGCGCCCAGGAGCCACCTCAAATGTAGAGCTTTACTCTCTGGGCATTTGGATGGCCTCTTCCATTATGTGCCTCAAGGTGAAGCCATAAAAGGCCAGGCCAACCTCCTGGTCTGAGGGGAGTGACCCAATGGGTCCTTGCAAATGCTCATGCTGAGCAATGAGTCTTGAGCTTCTCAAAGCTTTCTGGAGCTGCAGAGGTTTTCCTTCTTCCTTTGGAATATTCTAGGGTCTTGACATTCCAGCAGGTGGTGTGGAGGTTAAAGTACTGAATTGCTACTGCCAGCCTTCTACCAGTTTGATGAAGCCAACAGTGATGACAGGACACAGAGGAAAAGGACATTTCCTGGTGAACTGCTCAGTCAACCTCTGCCACCCGAGACACTGAATTTCCTGGTGTTCGAGTTGCCTGGGCTGGAATGTCTGTAGGGGGTGTTCAAGCCAAGTGATATGAAAACTGTATCCATCAGAACCTGTATTTTGGGAAGCACAAAGGTAGTGAGTGGGAGGAAATGCCATTCAAGTCACTACCTAGGGCTGAGGCTTGTGTAGAGTTGACTTGGCAACACTGTCCCCACAGCTACTGAGGCAATTTCCAGTGTCATTGCCATGGGCCTTAGCATTCAACCACCACCACCACAGAAGTCACCGGGGACTTTCTTCCTTGTGATGGAAAGGAATCTAACCAAAGACCTCCCTGGAAGTTTGCCAGTGGTTCGTTTGCAGAACTGTTTGCTTTCTAAAAACATCTTGTTCAGAATCCAGTTAAAGCACCAAGCTCCGACCTCAGCTCAGCACTCGGAGTGGAAGGCAGCAGCTGAGAGAGAGAAGACTGGTTCCAAGTCACACTTCCCGGCAGTGGGGGCATTTAGAGGGCCTCTAAATGCTCAGTTCAGACACACCTGCTCGGTGCAGGCAGCCTAGATGCCTCTGCCTGCAATGACTCCCAGACAGCGGGGAGGAAAATGAGTCCCTCTCACTGATTCCACTTCCAGTATGTGATACTGACATGTCATCAAACTTCTGTTTCTTCAGTCAAAAGGCATTTTGATCCCCAACGAATATTCTGGGTGAAATTCCCTAGAGGAGGCATTCTGAGTAATGAATATTGGTTTAAGACTTGGGTACAAAAGGACAATACTTGGCACTTACTGGTGGGTGACCCTGGATGATTTACTACTTTATCCCTGAACTTGAGTTGCCTCGTCTATAAGGTGGGGATAATAATAGCACCCATTATGAAAATTAAATGCATGAATGCAAGCACTTCAGTATGGGCCTGGCAGTGGCTAAACTCTCCATGTTAGCTGCCATTACTATCCACACTGAGGTCTTGCAAACCGGGATGGAATGTCTGGACGGCCATTGTTTTCACTCATTCTCTTGGCCTCTGAAACGTGAGCTGCCCCCACCCTGGATCATTCAAGCCCATCAGGATAGTTGTCCTTAATCCTTGCAGGTGCTTGATTCGAGACAACTGTCAGATGGCTTTCGTCTGCAAAACTGAGTAGTAAAAGCAATTTGGGGGGGGACATACACTACAGTTTAATCTTCCAACTTGATTGACCTCGAGGCGTTCCTGTCAATATAAAAGATTTTGTTGGGGGCAGTGGAGAAGCCAAGGCCGGCTCCGCGATTGTGCTTCCAGCTCATGGCGCGGTCGTAGTCCTGCTGCAGGTTCTGCTGCAGGCTGGCGGCCGCCTTCTTGAGGGCCATGTGGGACCGTCCACCCGTGTTAGGGGAGCAGCTGGATGAGGGGGAGTGGTTTTTAAAGCCACCCATAAGTTTGAGAAATTTCAGTTTCTGTTCCTCGCTTTCAAAACCAGCAGTATCCCACTGGCCAAACTGGGTTCCCTGCAATATGAGAAAAAAGTGGTTATTTTCCTTGACTCCAAACCCCTTTCCCTCCCTCAATGCCAGACCCACCAGGTGGGACTCAGCTGATGAAATGCTTACTGCATACCAGCTACAGTTAATAAGCTTGGCAGTGGTTTGTTTTATTAATCTTAGCAAAAGCCCTATGAAGAATCCCATTTTACTGATGGAGGTTTGCAGCTTAACTGAGGGGAGAGGCCTAATTAGTACTAGTTATTGCAGACCCAGGATGCAGCCACACCAATGTGACTCTCTGAGCCTCAACATCCTCATCCATAAGATGGGAGTGTTCACACCCCACAACAGGGCTTTGATGAGACTTAACCCGGTACAAGAAGTTTGGCACGTTTTAAGTCCTCAAGACCTGACTGTTCTCATGCCACCTCGACAGCTGCTGGCCATGCTGAGACCTTTCTGCCTGCACGCCTGTCGCCTGCAGCTGATTTGTTTTTAGGTCAGCTTTGAGAAAAGTTAAGAATCAGTCGTTGCTCTGAATGCTCCAAGTGCATCAGTGACACATCCTCCCAGCTTCAAGATGCCCCAGATTCAGGATCGCTACAGCTTCCCTGGTCTAAAACATCTAGAATGGAGGCCGCCTATGATGGGTACAAACAGGGTATGAGGACAGCGCAGCCAGCAGTCTGGCTGGTCTTGCGTGAGCCATGCTAAGAGCAGCTGACCCAGCCAGAAGGCCCAGAGCTGGCCTGGATCTTCACCCCATGCCCCAGCAGGGTAGGCAGTGTCATCTAAAGCGCCCCTGGCAGAGCCTAGGCCTGTACTCCAGGATTGCTTTCCTACCATCAGGCCCTTCCAGGTACAGCTCCTGGAGCCCTGCAGCTTCGGAGGCTGCTGCCCCTCCTGCCTTCCTCAGGGCTCCTACCAGCTCTGCTCAGCTCAACAGGGTGGAGGGAAAGGAGCCACCCAGAGAAGGACAGCAAAGCCTCACGGCACCCCACTGGGCCAAGGCAGGAATCCCATTATATGGGTGTGGAAACTGAGGCACAGAGAGGGGACGCAGCCTAGCGACTCACAGCTAGCGTGCACAGCCAGTAACTGACTTCAGATCTTCCCTGAAATCTGGCTCCTCTGTCTGCTCGGAAGGCTCAGACAGCATGAAGGCCCACCTCGCTGGCACTGACCCTCCTTTCCCTCTCCCCAGAGCCGGCCTGTTAGCCAGTCCCCCTGCCATGCCTCCGAAGTCGATCACAAGGCGTTTTTCTCTGTGCCATCTGTCACCTAGGCCTGTGACCAGAGGCTGAGCCTTCTAACCAGGCTGCGGCTGCAATCAGAGTCCACACAAGCTGCTGAGGCTGGCCTGGCACAGCTCCACCCTGTCACCCCCGTGCCTGCGCTGCACACCTGATGGGCCTTCACAGTCCACCTCTCCCACCCGGGGTTTGACTCTGGCCCGTGCCCTGATAGGAATGACCTTTGTTCTGCCTTCTCAGGGCTGCCACCTCTGCACCTTAAGGTCTCTGGACAAGGTCACCTTCTCCAAGCAACCTTGTGTCACTGCCCCACCCAGGTGGCGTCCCTTGCCCAGCCTCTCTCTAGCTCACTTTCTGCTTCCTTTCTCCCAGCATCCTTGCTATCTGAAACGATCCTCCTTTCCGGGTTAATCCTGCTTCCCTACCAAACCCACCCCCTGCCCAGCCAGACTGCAAGTGCGATCGATCCCTTGGCCTCATTGGCCTCTATACCCAGCACCTGGCAGGGCACCCGGCAAAGCAGGGGCCAGAACAAACAAAGCTATTCCACCCATTACCGCAGGGAGCTACAAGACAAGTGAGCACCAAGGCCCCAGCCTGCCCACCAAGCCGCCCCGCTGTGTGTCCCAGCATTGTCCTCCCACCTGTCCATCCCATCCTTTCAGGCCCAGCCTGGGCAGTTCCCATCCAAACTGGATCTGAGGCCAGTCCTGAGTGGGCAGCCACAGCCCTGCTCTCCTCTCCGCCTCCTGCCCCTGCTCTTAGCAGCTCTCCAAGGTCCCCATCCTCTACTGGCATGAGCTCATCATGGTATGTCCTTGGGTCACCCATCCAGGCTAGAGACCAAGGTTCAGGCAGCTTATCTTGCAGACCAGATTCCCAGAAGGGAGGAAAGCACCCCTCTCAGAGGAAGGAAATCAGCTCAGGACCAACTCTTGCATAGGGAGCAGCAGGTGGGATGGGGCAGCACCTGGTCCCCACTCCATGTCTTGTGTTGTGGGAGAGGAGGGCTCAGCACATTATGCGTGCCTCCGCGTGGAGGCCCAACACCAAGCTTACCATCCTCCTGTTTTCAGACGCTTCCGTTTTTCCTGACTCACGGTCGATCTCTTCTTGCAAGGCCTTTCGCCTCACCTGAGCAACGAGGACGGAGGGGAAAAACGAGTGTTTTCTTTTGAGCTTAAACCCAGGACAAAGATGAGGTTGGGAGGAATGGAGGTGGCAGGAGGGAGTGTGGCTGTTTGATCAAGACCACAAGGGAAGCTGTCAAGGACTACGGTCCCTTGCCTGACGGTGGGCCAGCCTCCTAAGAGGAGAAATCCTCTTTAGCCAAGATTTCTACTGCAGAATTAATTTTTTTAGAAACTGAAGTGACTACCTTCCCCACTATAAGTTTTATCTATCATGGCCATTTTGGGTAGAAATGTTCCCACAATGCAATGTCCAAGCCCTGCCTCCTGGTGCAGAGGATACCGTCGCTAACGTGTGATGACAGCATCATTTTCTAGAAAGACAGGCCGTGAAATCAGGCAAACTAGTTTGAAGCCCACCCTGTTACTAGCAAGCTATGTGGCCTTGAGTAAGTCACTTAAGCTTTCTGACCATGGGCCATCCTAAAGAGAAGAACTTTCTTAGACTTTGGATTTCACGGGCATGGACACAAGGCGAAGGGGCTGTTGGGAGTTTGTGCACAGGAAGTGCATGAGGGCTCAGGGGTTCGAGGCCTTGTCTCCGCAGGACTAAGAGCACCTGGGGAAGGAGCAGGAAAGCACTGGGAATCTGGATGAGTCGGGGCCCTATCCCTGTGCCCCGTGTGGCCACCTGACCCTGTCACGGCAGCTGTGGCGGTTGCTGGCCCTACTCCGAGAGCCGAACATGCCTATGACTTGGGAATGCTGGGAAGCTATTTCTGGGGGACAGCGTTTTGTGCCAGGCCCTGGATGAGGGCTCTGTGGTATCACTCCAGTGACTCCCATGACCTCATGAGGGTCCCTCCAGAGAGAGTTCCCGAAAGCCCCCATGGCTCTAATCTAGCATTTGGCCCCAACTTGCTGAGGGAGCCTGGGGACAGCAGTCAGAGTCCTGCTGCCACTTACCAAGCAGACAGGAGGCAGCCTGCCCACTGCTTCGCAGACCTCACCTCACATGGTCTTCGTGGCACTCTGTCACGACCCCTGCCTCCCATGGGGAAAACCGAGAGTCAGGGAGGGCCTCTGCTAGGACCAGCCTCGTGGCAGGCCTTGCAGCCCCCCTCCGTCCTGTCAGGCTCGAGTTTAGGACCAAAGAAAGGCTCCAGGACCCACCTGCCTGGGTACCCAAGACAGAACCTCTCACTACACTGAGAAAGGTCCTAGCTATGGGGTCTTCAAGATATGTCCAGATCCCTGTGGTGGGCTGCAGAAACTCAGGTTCCTTATCACATGCCAGAGGAGTCCCCGGGCATGACACGGAGAGGGTGCAAGTTCCCTGTCCCTGTAGGCATGCCACAGAAACTGGCTCAGTGGCCTTTGAAGTCCCTGGCGTCTCTGAGACCAGGATTTTGGGACCTGGTCAGTGGCAAACCTGCCTCTGGGGAGTAACAGGAGGCTGCAGGAGGGAGAGGAGGGGCCCGGGTCGTACCTGGTCTATGTGCGCCTCATCCATGTTGCCCTTCTTTTCCAACACCACCTCCAGGTCTGTGTCTGGCTCCTGCAGAGAGGGCAGAGGTGGTCAGGTTCATGCCTGCCATGCGTGGTCTCTGTCCCGAGCCCAGCAGGGGAGGGGTGAGATCATGATGGAGTCCAGAAAAGACCCCAGACCAGAAAAGGCTACCTCCTACTCGTGCCACCTAGACACTGTCTTGGATAAGAACACCCTTCTCATCCTTTCTCTTCCACGATTCTCCCACCCAACTGGTGGCACCAACCTAGCGGATGGATGAAGAAATTGAGGCTTCAGAATGGTAAAGGTCAACCACAAGGTCACCCCACAGCTCAGAGGCAAAGCTGACTCTAACCCTGGGCTACTGAATCAAGGTGCGGTGTGTGGCCTTTCCTAGAATCACCTGACCTATAGGGACACCTTCTTTTCCAACACCACCTCCAGGTCTGTGTCTGGCTCCTGCAGAGAGGGCAGAGGTGGTCAGGTTCATGCCTGCCATGCGTGGTCTCTGTCCCGAGCCCAGCAGGGGAGGGGTGAGATCATGATGGAGTCCAGAAAAGACCCCAGACCAGAAAAGGCTACCTCCTACTCGTGCCACCTAGACACTGTCTTGGATAAGAACACCCTTCTCATCCTTTCTCTTCCACGATTCTCCCACCCAACTGGTGGCACCAACCTAGCGGATGGATGAAGAAATTGAGGCTTCAGAATGGTAAAGGTCAACCACAAGGTCACCCCACAGCTCAGAGGCAAAGCTGACTCTAACCCTGGGCTACTGAATCAAGGTGCGGTGTGTGGCCTTTCCTAGAATCACCTGACCTATAGGGACACCACACCAGCCCGCTGAGACGAGCTCCCCTCTGAGTCCTGGAGGCCGCCTCACCTGCCTGAACCACCAAGGCAGCTCTAACTCCTGCTTCCCCACATGGCGGCTATCACGGCACCTCCCTCCCCACCCTGCTGATAGGAAAACCCCGACTCCTGCAGTACCTAGGGGGTGGGGGGGGAGGCCACACTACAATTCCTTCTCCTCCATTCTCCTCTCAAGATCTTGGGCACACACATGCATCCAGCATGAATTTAAGACACTGGGTCCGGGACTCAAACCGCAGTCGACTACATGGGAATCCAGCAACATAGCCATTACGCCAACCACTGGTCCCTATGCGTCCTTCCTTTAAGCGTGTCCTGCCTGGCGCCTGGCATACGTGCAGAAGATCCATGGATGGTTCTTCACTGGCACTACCCGGCCAGCCCTGCCTGACTCAGCAGGCTGCTGGGGGGTGGGGAGGAGCATCCCCAGCACAGGAGATGCCAGGCACAGGGGACTGCTTCTCCCTGAGCTCCCGGGAGAAAGGACTCCAGATTCTGATGGGGCCTAGGCTCTAATCTCTCCAGGGTTCCCCTCAGCCCTGAGTTTCTGAAAGGTGGAAGATAATGGTGAGACCAAGTCCAACTGACTACAGCAAAACCACAAGAAGTGCCACAGCCAGAACTCCCACCGCAGGCACCTGCTCTAGAGGCCCTGCCCTCCCAGGCCCACCTGCCAAGCTGGGTGCAGACCAGACACCCTCCTGATCACCTGGCTCCAGTCAGCATTAACTGAGCCTCCTCTGCCAGGCCAGGCCAACCCTCAGTAAGTGCTCTGGACTAATCAGCCATCACTACTACTTAAGGGCCCCAGGGCAATGGCTGGCCCGACGTCACCCCACCAGTTGGTGCAGAGCTGAGAAGAGAACCCAGGGCTTTCTCTCCTAGCACAGCCATTTCTTAGGCAGCTTCTGTGAGATTACACAGCTGTCTGGGAAGGGATAAGATGCCAAGCTGTGATAGCAGACTATGCCCAGCTAGGTGACCTTAGACAAGGTATTGAACCCCCTTCTGTCCCAGTTTCCTTCTCTGTGACATGGGGTCAGCACAGCTGCTGCCTGGCTGGACTGGAAAGAGGATGAAATGGGCTAGCACATGAAGAGCCCTCAGCACAGTGCCAGGCGTACCAGGAGTGCTCAAGGAATGTCAGCCACCAGCCACTCTGAGGGGACAGGCACGTCTGGGAGCAGGACACACACCCTCTTCTCTCCACCTGCATGTCCACACGCACACCTCAAGGACAGGAGAGGTGGCCAGCTGGCAACAGCACAGCCAGGGAACTACAGGTCTGAGTCTCTGGCCCTCCAGGTCCCCTCTTCCGCCCCTCCCCCACTCAAGGACACCTATCAGGACAGGGACATGCTGTCATCCACTCCCTTCGTCCTGGCAGTAGGGCTGGGTTTTCCTCTCAGAAACTCTCTCCCCCATCTCAGATGGCATGGTCTTGGGGAGACTAACACCCTCAGCCCCTAACCACAGCTTCAGATCAAGGCTCCAGCTAAAATGACCCAACTGAGACCTGTCCTATAAGATCAGCCCTGAGACTGTCAACACTTAGGGGGGGCCACCCTTCCTGCTGTGGGGGCAGCTGCACTAGAAGGGAAGCACAGAGTGGCTGGGACCATCCTGGCAGGGATGGGGACTGGGGAGGAGGCTGGGACCAAAGCCGAGACAGAGAATTCAGTGCCCAGAGTCGAGGAGAAACATCTGACATCTCCTGCCACAGAGACCATGTGACTCCTAAGCTGCATATACTGAGCCCAGAGAGTATAGCTCTGGGTACTCTCTGGGTACTTGTTATCTAGAGCTGGTCGATTCCTGAGTTTTGGACAGCAAGAAGCAAGAATTCAGAGAGCAAGAAATTCAGGGCTATCCTTTAACTGAGTGGTTAAGGCAGCTGGATCCCAAATTCCAGACCCCAGTAGCTTGAAAAGCATGTCAGCACATGGGTGTGTGCGCCTGAAATTCCAAGAGGAGAATATAAGAAAATGGATCATCCAATCACCCTTGGGGGCGGGGAGTGATTTCTCCTCTTTCTCCTTCTCTCTGTCTCTCTCCAGCAGGCACAAGCACCCTAGAGTAAGATTAAAATTAATGAGAAAAAAAAAGAAAGACTAGCAAGGGGAGGCTTCATCATCCCCATGGCTCGGAGATGAAGACCTATCCAGCGGGTGCTGAAGCCCTTGTTCTTCTGGTGTCTCCTCCTTGACTCCAATTTCTTTAGTTCCTAGGTACATACAGTGAACAGTCGAGTTTCAATAGCAAGGGCCACTGGTATTCGTGATGCTATTGCAGGAGCCCCTAGATCCAACCATACCTGAAGCTAATCACTCCTTTTCCAATTCGATGTGTCAATAGACCTCTTTTCTAGTAGAAGTTAACTGAACTAGGGTTCTGGCAGCTAAATGCATAAGCACCCATGCGTGCGTGCGCACAAACACACACACACACACACACTTCATCTCCACCCTGGTCCTCGCAAGGTAAAGTCCATTTCTGTAAGAATACCTACCTCCTCCCACGGATCTCCTGCTGCCCCACTCTCTTTCTTCTTCTTCTTCTTCCTTTTCAGAGCCGGCTCCTCAATGCCTTGCTGCTCCACCTTTTTCTTGGACTTCATTTTCTTCTTGGCTGGGGCCTTTGGGCCATCTTCTATCGGGATATACTCTGGAGCCTCAACCTTGACCAGTTTCTTTTTGCTAACTTTCCTAGGGCTGCCCTCCACGGACCTGGAGAGCTTGGAGTGGCCCAGGACAGGGTCTCCTTCCTCGTGGATTTTCTTCTTCTTCATCTTCCTGTGTTCCCTGGGGCTGCCCTGCTTCCGTTTCTGCCCCAAGGCTGTCTGCTCCTCACCCTCCTTCTCCTCGGAGCAACTGTACAGCGCATCCTCAGCCTCGCAGGACCAAGGGTCCTGGACTGAGAAGGCTGCACCATCCTTGGCCTTTTTTTCCTTCTTGTGTTTTTTAAGCTTCTTGCCAACTCTGGTCACCTCGTCACTTGGTCTGCGGTCTGGGGAGGTCTTTGTCCCTGAGCCATGGGACACAGCCAGAGTTAACAAGGACTTCCTCTTTGTCTTCTTCTCCCCCCTGCAGACCTCAGAGTAACCAAGGGACTGCTTCCTGGGGCTGGGTGACTTGTCTGCTGGTCGGGCGTGCAACCGGGTCTCAGATTATGGCGGCTCCTCACTAAGGGTGCTATGGCCCTTCCTCCTCCTCCTCCTCCTCTTCTTCTTCTTCTCCTTCTTCTCCTTCTTCTTCTTTTTCTTCTTCTTCACTAGAGGCATCTCAGATGCCTGTCCTCGGACCACATTCTTAGAGAGGGATGTGGCTCTTACAGGAGAACTGTCAGAGAAATACTTATCATTGTGTAAAACTGAGTATTGAGTCTCTGGTTCTTTGACTAACTTCTTCTTCTTCTTCTTCTTCTTCTCTGGGAGCCCAAGGCCCAGGTCTACTTTTTGGGTCTTAGTGATCATTCCTGAAAAAACAAACGTTGCAAGTCATCTCCACACATGCCAGTTGTGTCCAATCCTACCAAGCGCTGCCAAGAGCCATGTCTGAGTACGTGGTCTTTGAGGGGAAGGGAGGAATGGTCACAATTCCTCTGGAGGAAAGGGAAATACAACATAGTAGCATGAAGTCTAAATTCAGACAGCCCTGGGTTCAAATCCACTGTTCTCTGGCTTGAGACCTCAGTTATCTTCTTGAAGCCTCAATTTTCCCATCTGGAAAATGGGGCGGAAACAACACCTTCTTCCTCAAGTGGATGTTGATACATAGACACAAGGTATTTACACAAAGGAATTGGTACATGGTCGGTTCCGTTCTCTAATCCCCTTCCTCAAACCTCTCAGCCCAGTCACTCATTCAACAGACTATGGACCGCTCTCCTGGGCAACCACTGAGAGTATACCTATGGTCCAGACAGACAGATCAGTCACAGCCCTTTAGGAAATGCATTCCCCACCCTTCCTTGGGTGACTTACCCTCCGAATGTCTCCCCATGTGGCTGTAAGCAGTAAGGTACAGTGGCAGAAGCCCCAGCAAGGACTCAAAAGATCTGGATTCAAAAGGTGACTATGATACACACCTGCAGAATGGTCTTAGTGTCTCTGGGCCTCGGTTTCCCCATTCTTTAAAAAGAGACTGAACCAGAAGCTGCCTGGGATGGGGGCCATATCCAGCTTGCAATCTGCTTCACTTGTCTTTAAGGCTGCAATGTGCTGGTCAACATTTAATGACTGGTAATGACACAGCAAGCTGGAATGCCCAGTTTTATTTTTTAGACAAATGTCATGGAGTCACCCGTGAGAAAAGGTGAAGCCCTCAACACACTTTAGCTTCCACCGGGACCCATTCTCTCTCTAGAGATACCAGCCCAGGACTTAATGTTCCCTGGGATGACATAGAGACATTGGGGAATCTAAAATCTTCCCTCACAGGAGGCTTGAATACTAGGAGGGACCAAGTCAGTAGCTTCTTCACCCTGCAGCTCTCAACCTCAGACCCCAGGGGGTCCGCACTGGACTTGGTTCACTCTTAACTTCAAAGAGATAAGCCAGGCCTGAGCTAAAGCTCCAGCTCTTTCATTACCTGCGCCCGGAGCAGCTGGAGAATCAAGGTACTACTTTGTTCATTCATTCATTCCCGACTGTCCTGTTTCCTGGTGTATTCACAGAGCCTACCTCAGGGCCTGACACATGGCAGGTGCTCAATATATACTCATTAGCTGTCTGGCTGGACAAGTGCTCGAGACAGAGATGGCCAAGATAAAACAGCAGTTATCACAAAGTACATGGGCGTGGAAGGGA